GTCACCTTGCTCATAGCACACACCTGTGGGGAGGGGACGTTGGAAGCCAGTATGATACCAGGTGTCTTGGGACCTGAAGCCTCTCTCTACACCTGGTTTAGGCTTAAATCCAAGAGTCTCAGTTTCTTTTAAGCTCAGGCATCTCCTGCTCTAGCTTCTGGACCCAACACAGAGCCCCATGAGTTCAATTATTCCAACAATACAAACGTGCTATCAAACGGACATATGGTGGGACTTCTACCAAGCTGGGCATTGCAGTCTTTGTTGCTATAGAGATCTGCTCATCCTACCAGAACGGAGCCATGGGCTCCTCTTTCCACAGCACCCAGTCTCCAGGGTTACTAACTCCTGCCACAGCTACAAAGATGCTGAAAAGCACATGGCATGCCATAATAGGTCCAGCTCGAAAGGCAGACAGACTGAGCTCAAGTTTTTCTTTTACATTTTGTATCAAACCGTGTTACAAGACCTTGTTATCAGGTCATGGGACGGCCCTCCCTCTGGTTCTCATTTCCTCCTCCATAAAATGGAGTCAATAATCCATCCCCAGGAGTTGTTCGCAGGGTTAAGTAGTGCATGTAAAGTGTTGGCACGCAATAGGTGTGTGATGAATACAAGGTCCGTCTCCCTTCTCTGCAAGGTACTAGTTCAAATGGATGACTCCTGTATGGAAAGCTATGCATATGCTAGGTAGTAACAGTGCCACAAACACACATTAACGACTGCGCCACATACAGAATAACAGGGTGGTAGGGCCACATCTGCTCAAGAAGCGACAGGGCTTGAAAGCTGGTGAGAAATCATTTCCAGATTGTGAAGCTGGCAGAGGAGCTTCCTCCCGTCAAAGCAGCCTACTATGTTCTAAGGTCCTGCTGGGATTCCACATGCTGCCGCTCTCTCTCCCCATCCCACCTCTCCTTCTAGGCAGCTGATTTTCCCTCTCCAGTTGTACCAGCTGCTGAGCTTAGTGGCTGTTCCTGGTGTTCTCTCACACACGCAGGGCCCAGTTCTGCCTTCAGCTTGGGAGCGACAGCCCACAGGGCTCCCCCTTCTGTAATCATCACTCTTCCCCCATTCGAAAGGCGACTTCAACTTTCAAAAAGCTTTCCAACCTAGCTCCTACCACATTCTCCCAACTTCCTGCAAGGCCTTCTAAGAGTCCCCTCCAGGGATCCCTGACTGTTAACCAAAAGATGCAAGAAACAAAGACATGTGACCTGCTTAAAACCATCCTGCAGGTTCATGGGCAAGAAAGCCAGGAGGCCTTAGTCATGGGCTCACTCTCATCCTGGCAGATGTGTAGTCTTGGAAATTCATTTAAGAATGCAACTACAGGGCCGGAGAAATGGCTCAGAGGTTAAGAGCACTGACTGCTCTTTCAGAGGTCCTGAGTTCAAGTCCCAGCACCCACATGGTGGCTCACAACCATCTATAATGAGATCTGGTGCCCTCTTCTAGCCTGCAGGCAGAACACTGCGTACATAATAAATAAATAAATAAACTATTAAAAAAAGAATGCAACTACGGCACTGGGTGTGGAACTCAATGGTAGAGCTGCTTGCCTAGTATGCAAGAGGCCCTGTGCTCAAAGCCCAGCACTGGCTGAAGTCAGTGAGTGAACAGCAAACACAGTGCCAGGTGTAGTGGTGTACACCTGTAAACCCAGCATTGGGGCGCTAAAGCAGGAAGAGCAGGAGGTCATGACCAGTCCTGGGCTGCAAAATGAGTTCGAAGTCAGCAGGAACCACCAAAGTAAGACCACATTTCAAAAAGAAACAAGCACACAAAGTAACAGTTTCCGCACTGGTAAAATGATGAAAGTGTGTCAAATGTGTATAAAGAAAAGAGCGAAGAAGGAAGGGGACTAGACAAAGAAGATTTTAAAGATGAGATGACATTGGAGGAGGGTTTGGAAGGCCAAATAGGAAGTGGCCAGAAGACAATAGTGGATGGAAGATACGTTCCAAGCAGAGGAAAACACATTCAGCTAATCACAGAAATGGTGAATGGGTGGTTTGGGGAAAGAAGCCATTCAATACCACTGATCCTCAAGTTGAGGGTGAGAAGTGACAGCGCGTGAGGTTGGAGAAACAGGCAGGGTCCCATCATGGAGATCACTAAAATGTGCTGAGGAACATCCACTTTACCCCAGAAACTGTTTCCCCCCCCAAAGCTCAAGCATTAGTTTTCCAGTTTCTCCACTTTGCCTTTTCCATGCGGCAAAAATACTATTAGTCATTTTATCCAAAGCGACTCACTTTAAAAACACTTAACCTTACCCTAATAAAAACTATGGGAACCCCGAGTTTGATATACTATGTAGACTTTTCTAATATGCATTAAAATGCACGCAGAACTGAAAGGTAAGAAGTTTTCTCTCCATCACCCATGACAATCCTCGGGCTACTTGGGATCTACCTCCACAGCAGGGAGACAATCTTGACACTCCCACTCCGAAGTTAGCAAGGTTTGGACTCACAGCAAGAAAGTACTATGGTGGCTGTTAGATTAGCTAGGAGAAGGTCAGAGGCAAAGGCCAGGAATCAGTTCTAGAACAGGCAAGCGTGGACATTGGCAGTGGGCAAGAAGAGCAGGGGCTATGTCTCAGAGGAAGTCTTAGCAACAAATAGTTGTTGGGGAGAGGGTTGAGTGGACGCACAAATGAAAACTGTGTGAGGCCAAGGAGAGAGCAGAGCGAAGGGTAACTCCTAGGTTTTCAGTTTGGTTTCCTAGAAGGATGCTGAGGCCATTAAGAGACAAAACAGGAGAAAAGGAAGCAGGAAGGGAAAGGATGGAGCAAGCTGTGTTCAGCTGAGTGTGAGGTACTCCTGGGACATTAGGTTGGAGCTAGAGCAGCGGGTTATGTTAGTCTCGGCAGCAGACAGAGATGCAGAGGTCAAGCCCATAGAGGTGGTTTCCTCACGGTAGCCTAGACTGCTAAGGGAGAGGTGCGGAGTGAGAGGAGCAGGCCTAAGACAGAACTCCAAGGACAGGACATTTTTCATTTAACGATGGGAGAAGGAAGGAAGGCTTTATCCCTTCACAAGATCTTTCCTGGTCACTGCAGGACTTCCCATAGGCAGGGGCTCAGCTCTTCTCTGAGAGCATGGTTGACTGCTTGTTCCTGTCTCTTTGAGCAGCCTGTGAGGCTGTTCACTGCAAGGGATGGGGAACTGAACACTAAGCTCTTTAGATCTGCCCAGTTAGAGTGAGTTTTTCCTGGAGGCTTCCGGGGCTGCCTAGTGATAGTAAGTGAGCAGGCATGGTCCTGTGTCGGGGGTGGGGGTGGGGTGGTGGGGTGGTGGGGTGGTGGGGGGGGTGAAGGGTATTAGGGAGGGAGAAGTGGTCATGAGACCACCTCCTGATGCTGCCAGAGGTTGCTGGGGTAGCCACCGCCTCCAGGATGACCCTGGGTGGGGCAGCCATTGAAAACACAAAGCAACTGCTAAGAATTGAAACAACAGTCAGTAATTGCCCAAATTTTGAACATTAGCAAGTGGAAAGCTATCCTCCAGACAAAGCTGTGCAAAGCATCTCTGTGTGACGCCAGCAGGTCCTGAGACTCCAGCTCCATGGCAGAGAAGAGAGATGCTACAAGGTGGTGGCTGGGCCATTTACCTGCTAATAGTAGCCTTAACAGAGTGCGTTCTCAAGATATTACAAAGAAAGTCCAATACTCAGAATCTTGTCCTTGACTTAGTCCACCAAAGGAGCCAATTCAGCCTACCCAGAAGTCTAAAGTAATACTCTTTCTAGGAGGCTCCAGGAGTGGGGCTCATCAGCACAGCCTCTTGACCTTCTTGTAGCTGCTCCCCGACCCCCTCCGCAAACACCCTGTGAGCTCCTCCTCTTCTAGAGCTGCCACTTGGACAACTACCGTTAGATGCACAGCCAGCAGAGCCCCAGAAACAGACAGAGGCACCCTCTGTGTCTGAACATGACATGCTTTCAGAATGGCACTGACCCACCTACTACTTCGTACAGTAAACTTGAGTTACACTTGGCAGAAACTTCCCTTTCCTTCCCATTGACCTGGATAGTGGATGAAACCTTCCCAAATGGGCACAGAGGGAACTCTGGGCTCTTCTGGGACTCCGTGTGAGGGGGAGGAAAAAATGAGGTGCTGCCAAGAGAGGAGGGCTGGGGGTGCAGTTCAGTGGTAGTGTACTTTCCAGAGATGTCTGAGGCTCAGGTTCCAAAAAGGGGGAAGGGGATAAAAGTTAAGTTGGTGGGGGTATGGGTAGAGCAAGGGCGACTTTCCTTGCACAGTGCTCTTGCAGTGCTTTGCAAAGCCTAGCTAGCAAAAGTTGTCTCCAGACCCTAATCTCCACACTGTGAGGTTTAGGAAGAAGTTGTTGGGGGAAACTATGCCCGCACCCTTGAGTCCACCTCTGGAGGGACACAGAGGGCAAAGAAGAGCACATTGAAAGTAGGAAGACAACAGACTCCAGGCTGTCCAATGCTCCCTCCCCTCTGTCCATGCAGGGAGAGCAGCTCAGTTAAGTAAGGGCTGGGGCCGGGAGGTGGGGGGCAGGGCATTACACAGCAAGAAACAGCTTCATCTGGCTCACTCAGAGCAGGCAGCAGCCGAGGTAGAGCCCGGAGAGGTGTAGGTGTACACGTGTGGGGCGGGGCTGGGGGCTGGGAGAGCCGGAGGTTTGAATAACAAAGGAGACTCCTGAAGGGTAAGCCGTGCATGGCTCCAGGGAGAAAGCACTGTGCTAGCAATAAACTTCAGTCGCTGGCGCTCTAGCCACCCTCCAGAGGCTGCATGGAGTTGCTGGCGAAGGAGCTAGCTCCTGCCTGCTCAGGGAGCTCAGACTTATGCAATTCAGCCTGGTACTGGAGCAGGGGAGCTGGGAGTTCACCCGTATCTCCCTCAGGCTTTCTCCCCGCCCCCTGCCAGCCCCTCCAAGTCACGCCAAGGGTCAGGGGCCCTGTGAGCCAGGGAGGCCCTGGCTAGAGAAGCCCGGGGAAAAGGAGGGAAGGAAAGAGAGTACCTGTTGCTGAATGCATCCTGCTGCTTTGGCTCTTACTCCTCGGTTGCTTGTGGTGAGAGTTGCCCATCATTCTGTTCTGGACTGGCAGCCACCGCGGCCGCCGCGCCACCGCCTCCTCCTCCTCCTCCTCCTCCTCCCCCTCCTTCTCCTCCTCCTCTTCCTCCTCCTCGACCTGTGCTCCTCCCCAGGTGCTTACATCACCTCAGCTTTGCTTCTTACACACATGGCTCTTCGAAATCCCACTTGTGCCCTTGGCACAGTATTGTCCAGATCTGAACCTCTCACTTGGACTAGAACCTGCTAGGGCGCTCTCTCTCTCTCTCTCTCTCTCTCTCTCTCTCTCTCTCTCTCTCTCTCTCTCTCTCTCTCTCTCTCTCTCTCTCTCTCTCTGTCTCTCTCTCTCTCTCTCTCTCTCCTCCCTCGCTCCCTTCCTCCCTCTCTATCCCCTCCCCCTTGCTCAGCGCTCCTGTCAGGTCTAGCAGCCCAGGTTCCAAAAAAGAACCCTAGCAAACCCTGAGTGCAAGCCCCACCTCATCTGAATCTGCACATGGGGCCAGCCCCCGCAACCCCCGGGACCCGACTCGTTTGCCCTTACTGTCCCTGGCTGCCTCTGCTCTCAGAGCTGTCATTCCTGCTGCCGCTTGCTCTCTGGATCTGCAGAAGCTTGCAGGAGCGAGGGGCCAATTACAGAGCCTCATCCATGAGTGTGACAAGGACCAGTGAAGGAATGTGCTACCCAGGAATTCTAAGTGACACAGCTCCCTGTTCCACTGGGGGACGGATCCAGTTCTGTGACAGCTGCCAGTGGGTTCTGGGCTCCAGTCCTAAGAGAAACCTGAAGAAATTTGGGCAGAGCACGAGGCTTCCAGGCTGCAGGCTTGGCGCTAGCACATCCGGATGCCTCTGGAATGCCCAATGCGGCCACCAGGCGTACCTGCTTCCTTGTCAGACACACCTGAAGCCTCCCTCCACTCTCCCCTCCCTTGCCTGCTTTGCCTTCCCATGGGAGGGCAGAGCCAGCAGCCCAGAGATTCACAGACTGGAACTGGGACCCTCGGCAGCCAATGAGAAGGCTCTTTTCATGTCCCACAGAAAATCCATGCGCGCGCCGCATGCGCGCGCTCTCACACACATATGCAGCAGCCTGTCGCGAGTGCTGCAGCCCTGTGGGATAAGTGACAAGGGGCAGGTGGTGCTGGCTCAGCAGCCTGTTCCAGCCTCACAGCCTGGCAGTAAGCTAGGGCCATCGGTTCTGGAATCAAGTCTGCTAGAGCCAGACAGCCCTGAGTCACTTAGGCGAGGTAGTAAGACTGTTCAATGCTGATGTCATCAGACACAGGAACAGGGGGCCTGTCTGTCATAATCACAGCTACAGAGCATTGTGGGTGTGGGTCAGAGCTTTCTGATTTGGGGACAAGAGGTCTAAAATGAAAGTCATTCACACATCCATCCAGATGCCCGCTCATCTAACTGTCATTTAGGCATTCTGTCAACAGTTCCCAGGGATCTGCTCTGCCTAAGCCCTGTGCTAGTGGTAGGGGCAAGGGCATAAGTCACCTAGGAGGGGCGACTGACACATCAAAAGGGGGTGACAATACAAAGAAGAATTAACAGAGTTGAAGGAGAATCAGAGAAAAATGCTTCCATCTGGAAGGGCTGGGGTGTGCTTCCCAGAGGAGATGACTGGGTTGTCAGGATGAAGAGGTGGCTAGACACAGAAAAGGAAAGGGCATACAGGTAACTCCAGGGACTGCAAGCTCCAGGGACCCAGCTGTCCAGGGTCTCTTCAATCCTTAACAAATCCACAAACATGCTTCAGACTATTGACCTAGTGAGGGAGAAATTGAAAAAAAAAAAAAAAAAAAAAAAAAAGAAAGAAAGAAAGAAAAAAGGAAGGAAGGAAGGAGGAAGAAAGAAAAGAAAACAAAGTGCATCATGGTGGAACCCCTCCTTGGGCTTTGCAGCTCACTGTGGAGTGTGACAAGAAGTCTCCAGTGGACCCAACATGAGACCAAAATAAGGGTTTGGGAAATAGCCCCAGAGCAAGTGGGAAGTACCCAGAGTGAAGCATCTTGGGAAAATAGATTTATGAATGTGATTTTTGCAAATCATGGAGATTAATGAAGCTGGCAAAAATCTTGAAGGTGATAAGTGAATAACTGAAGTTTGGGGGAACATTTGGTTCTTGCTCTTTTATGTCTTTATGCTAGGTCTTAAGTATGAGTCTTGGGAGGTTCAAAATTGTAAAAATGGACTAAAATAAAGCTCAGAGAAACCTATAAAGGGAACCGTGGTATTGTGAGTTGGTTGCAAAGTGTGTGGGCCATTCTGAAAGTTGAGACAGAACAAAATTCAATTGAGTTGGGCACACGGGACTCTAGACAATATCCTCAATGAAGTGAGAGGGCATGAACGAAAAAATGGGTTTTGGAAGTGTTTGGAGAGAAGATGGGTAGGAGGGGATGAGGAATGAATGAATGAATGGATGGATGGATGGATGGATGGATGGATGGATGGATGGATGGATGGATGGATGGTCATAAACTGGATACACTTGTGCACTCATTGCCCTGGTCGAGAAGTTGAATATCAGGCTGGAGAGACGGTTCAGTGGTTAAGAGCATTGGCTGCTACTGCAGAGGACCCAGGTTCAAGACCCAGCACCCACAGGGTGGCTCACGACCATCTGCAGCTCCAGTTTAGGGGTTCTGATGCCTTCTTCCAACCTCCTTGAGAGCCAAACACACATGCAGCGCAATACATGCATTCAGGCAAAACACACATAAAATAAAATGAACAAATGTAGCAAAAAATTTAATTTGAATATGACTAGGCACTACAGAAGCCCTCCTCAAAGCACTTTTCAGTGCTGGGGGTGGAAACCAGGGCCTGGAAAGCAGGGTAAGTCCTACCACTGAGGTACACTTTTAGCTCTTCAAAAGCACAGTTCAAATTCAGCATTACAGATCTTCCTCACAGCAGTTCTGTCAGACAGGGATTACTTGAATTCACTCTACAGATATCCGAATAGGGACAGAGAGAGAGAGAGAGAGAGAGAGAGAGAGAGAGAGAGAGAGAGAGAGAGAGAGAGAGAGAGAGAGAGAGCTTGGCCAAGATCTCTATATAATCATTATGGCTGGAAAGAAGACATTCAAAAGAGACTCATGTGCCCATCCCCTTGGCAATCAGATTGTTGAAACAATAACCCCCAAGAAACTGGACGTTCCTCAAGAATTCCATGCTATAGAGGGGAAGGATGAAGTCCCGGTGTCAGTCAAAAGGAGAAACTGGTCTCCCAGGACAAAATAGCACACAGTTCTCACAACTAGTCAGACTACCTTGCTGGACAGACAGAGACGGGGCCATTTATGAGTCAGTGATGGGTGGGGGCACACCTGGAGCAGGGGAGCAGGGCTGTTAGTTATTGTGTTGGTTAGTCTGTCAACTTCACACAAACCAGAGTCCCCTGGAAAGAGGAACCTCAGCTGAGGAAGTGCCTCCATCAGATTTGTCTGTAGGCAAGTCTGTGTGTGTGTGTGGGGGTAGGGGTAGGGGGGCATTTTTTTTGATTAATGATTGATGTGGGAGAGTCCTGTCAAGCAGGGGCAGTGCCATCCTTGGGCTGGTGGTCCTGGGTTCTGTAAGAAAGCAGGCTGTGCAAGCCATGGGGAAGAAGTCAGCAAGCAGCACCCCTCCATGGTTCCTGTTTCAGCTCCTGCCCTGACTTCTTAGTGATGGACTGCATCTCTGGATGCGTAAGCCAAATAAACCCTTCCCTCCCCCAGGTTGGGTTTGGTCAGTGTTTCAGCATAGCAACAGAAACCTAATTAGGACAGTTATGCATACCTCTTGCTCCTATTTAAACCTAAAACCCTGAAATTAGCACCCTGAAGATGGACTTGGGGACAGATGACCTCTTTATTTGTTCCTCTTCCCAGTGAGGTCATACTGAAATCCTTTCCCTATTTTTCAACATTAATATTCCCTCTCCCCCCCCCTTCCCCATCCCTCCTCTCTGAGACTGAGTCTCACTATGTAGCCCTGACTGGCCTGGGATTCACTGTATGGACCAGGCTAGCCTGGAACTCACAGAGATCCTTCTGCCTCTGCTTCTTGAGTGCTGGGATTAAAGTTGGGTATCACCGTACCGGGTATATTACTTGTCTCTTTCATTGGCATATTGAGAACCAGCAGCTGAGGCCAGCTTGTTACGGCTGCCAGGACCCAGGCTTTGACTCTAAAATCTCTAGCAACACTTAGTAGTTTCTTCTTCCTTTGGGTTTTTACATTTACTCAATTTGTTACCAGTTTAGAAAACAACAACAAAAAAGATTTGCAGAGGTAGACCCCCTCCTTTCTCCTTGCACTCCTCTTAGTCCTCATTTCATATGGAGCGCCTATACCCTGTAGCCCACATGCTCACCTGCTTTCTGTAAACCCTACGACATCCCTGACCCTCTTCACTCAATCCCAGCCTTGAGTCTTCTCATCTGTGTATTGGGAAGGCAATAAAAACACCTAACCTATAAGCTACGGTAGTCTCTCCTTCTCTAGCCTTGCTCTCTGAAGTCAAAGTCCAAAAACATGAGATGGAAAATTCCAGAGATAAACAGTTAGTTTTCGATTGTGCTTTGTTCTGAGCAGCATAATGAAATCTCACCTCTTAGCACTCTGAGCAACTGATGACTTAACTCAATCTTTTGTCCATACACTGTGTCTTCTGCCTGCTCCTTATTCACTTAATAACCACCTCAGTCCAAGCAACCCTTATTTTACTTAATAATGGCCCCAAATCCCAAGAAGAGTGATGGTCACTTAGTTCTGCCCCGTCTCCACTCCTTGGCTCCTTCCTCCATCCTTGCGATCTCCATCAAAAGAATTTGGATGGGATGCACACAATGCAATATAGAAGACAGATGGCGTCTATTAGAGTAGAGAAAGGACAGTGACCAAGGGGATTTTTGTAGGACACACTCTCAAGTAGTAAGAGTGACAACAGTAAGAAAGACTATTCTGCTGAATTACATTTTAGGCAGCCTCTATATTATTTCCGAAGCTGTCTCTGGAATAGTTTTCCTAAGGGGTGCTTTCCTGTCTAGGTGATTGACAGGCTTGTTTGGACTCTTCCAAAAGGGGGCAATGGTATACCTATGTTCTATCAGAAAGCCTCCTACACACAATAAGTGTATAAGGTTCAGAGATCCTGGAAGCAGGTTTAGATAATTTCAGTTAGTGATCTTCTAGGCAGTTCAGGATGTCACCCCTCTGAGATCCCGTTCGGATGATCGGGCTGTAGTTGAAACACTTGGTTTTACAGGCTGTTGGTATTAGAGAGCAGTCCAGCCCTAATCCCTCTAAGCCTGCTAATATCTGACTAGCTACCTAACAATTTGGCTGTGCCAAAGAAAATCCACCAAGAGCTTCTGTGAAGTGAAAGTTCTCAAGTTAATGAGGGAGAGAGGAGCTGTGTGCCAAGGTTGCTAAGACTATGGTAAGAACAAATCTATCTGCAAAACTGTGAAGAAAGAAGAAATGCACGCAAAAGGAATTAAATTCGTGGGTGGAAGGCATGAACAGAAAACGTGTTCCAACTGTTGCTGGCAACGTGTGGCATCAGAACCATGGAGCCTATAAGAAAACTCCAGCAAGGGAGCTAGGGAGAGAGTGACACCAAGCCATGTGTCCCAAGTAAGGGCTGGTTCCACAGATTCAAGAATAGGCTTGGGCTGAAAAAATAGAAAAATGCCAGGACAGTCTGTCTGCCAGTGAAGCAACAGCTGTCACATTTCGAGAGGAGCTGAAGAAGTTGATTCAAGAGAGGAGATACCAACCAAAGCAAGTGTGTTTGAGGTGCTGGGGATCCAGCCTAGGACCTAGTGAATGTTATACAAGTACTCTAGTCTTGTGCTAGGTCCTCAGCCTCCAAGCAAGCCTTCAACGGACACTTCTGGAAAAACAAACCCATTAGAGCCTACATTTGGTAAAAGTGTGACAGAATCACTGGAACATGAAACATGAGAGAACAACTTCT